AATTAAAATCCCAAAGTACCAAGAAATGCCACAGCCTTACGTATTGATCATCTCTAGCTCAGCTAAGTCCCTGCAATTCTCATCTTTAATCCTGTTTACAAATAGATCAGTTAACTGGTTACTAACTACTAGGCGCAACTCTGAAGTTTAGTAAGTACCTACATTTATTCCATAGCCACTGCCTCTTGTCTGCTTCAAAAACCAACAAGAGGGTTTATGATGATTTATCCAAACAAAGTGAAGGTTGACATACAAGTCTGAACCAATTTAATTATCAAAAAGGTTAAACCTGAAATTAGATGCAACTACAAGTATCATCTGAAAACATAATTAAGAGCCTGGTTTTGGTATTACAAGAGTGGCAGCCCCGCATTCATAACTTCTGTATGATCGTGCAACCATTTTTCCTACAGGGAACTTCTAATTATCTAGTATGGCCTTTACAAGCTAAGATGGCAAATGACGCTATCCGCAGTTATCATCTCCCTGAGAAGAAGCTATAAACATATAACTAAGAATCGGTGATTGGTAGTTAACATCTACAATGGAGTCAAAAATTATTCTAGAACAAATTCAAGTCAATTTTTTACCAAAAGACTCATAAAGAGACCCATCAGAGCTAAACTATAAGGAAACCAAATGAAGGAATCCATTTAAGAGATAAACAAAACATACCATAAAAACCCCAATAAACTGCAATCTATGCCAAAATAAAAGATGCCCATTTTGAGATTCAAAAAAAATATTAAGTGGGTAAAGCTTATAAAAGGAAATAAAATAAAATAAAATAAAAAAGAAGGAAAGAAAGTTTACCTTGATGGGTTTCCTTGGTTAAACCCAAAGCTGGAGTTAACAATCATAGCAACCCAAAATGCTATAAAAATAACAAGAAAAGCAACATCTCTACATTTCCTATTGTGCCTAATGATCCCTCCAATTTGTGTAGTTCCATCACTTGATGGATACCTTCCTATCACTGCCCCCAAAGGACCCCTCATTTTTTCTTAGAATTAAACAAGAATTTTAGAATGGGTAAAGGAAGGGAATTTGCAGAGCCAGAGAGAGAAAAGGAAGAGCTTTTTGAAGAGTGGAGTGGAAGCTTAGGAAGTGTGAAACTAGGCAGAGAAGAAAGGGCTTTAGATTGGAATAATTTTTAATGTATTTTTAGTTTTCATTTTAAGACAAAGATTTGTTGCTTTTGAATAAAAAATATTAGTTATTGTCTTAAGAGTCCATGTCTGGTCGTGGCTTAGATTTTGACTGTCCTGTTGGCTTGGCTTGAGAGCCTTCGTTTAGATAAATGTCTTGCACTTGTTTTAATTAAATTTTAATGCCGGGTTAAAAGACAAATAGAGATTGAGGTGTCTGAAGCTGTGTTATGAGCCGTTTAGCCATATAGCCCAAGACAACAAATCCACTAATAAAACTCGCCATTATGGAATTATCTTTTTTAATTAATCTTTATTCTTTGTTTATAATTATATTCGTAATATAAATATCTTGCGCCGCTCCTTTGAAAAGGACATTACTATATATCAGTGGACTTTTTTTGTCCTACATATTCCCTTCTCTCAAAACCGTTGATCTTCTTCAAAAGTGTTTTTGGTTCACTTTTCAAGATCCATCCAACGGTGGAGAAACATGGCTAAAATTTACCCCTTTTCTTGTCTTTTCTTCCTTTGTGGGGTAAAAATGGGAACTTGATAAATTTATTTCATTTCACCTAGCACAAGGAATCTTAGCCCACAGTCAGCATTCCTGGTGACAAAGGCTTGTCCGGATCTGTTGATTTCTACAGTGGGTTAATTTTTAATTTTTATTTTATACAATTTTTCTTGAACAGTCTGTCATGCATGTTCTTTTTAAAGGCCCAAAGGTGGTTTTGAGTCTTGACTAATGAAGGGCTTGTTTGGTTATAGGGACTTTGAGAATGCAGTTTCCTTTGAAGAGAGAAAGAAGACATATAGAAGAAGATGACTATGATGATGGATCATATGGAGAAGACGAAGAAAAGGTAAGATTTTTCATTTTTAAGCTTACTGAATAAGTGCAGGTTCGGTTACTTATCTCCTCTAATATATTTATATATTTCTGAATTAACCCAATTTTTTTGCAAAAATAAAAGTACCCGTTGTTTTTTTCTGTTGGATTTGATCTTGAATGTTCATTTTCCCTCATTTGTAGTAGGAAATAGCTTTAAAAATGATGCCTTTTCCCTCTTTCTTCACCATATTTCTTAACAGTACAGTATTTTGTAATTGTGACATTTTTTCTGAGAAAATGTATGTTTATTATTCAGTCTCCTGACATGGATGTAGATAGAATCAGTTACTTGCCAAACAAAGTTCTTTGCCACATCATTTCCTTTCTACCAGCAAAACTTGCAATGAGAACCACCATTTTATCCCCTAAATACAGATACCTGTGGGGTTCTGTTCCTGTTCTTGACTTTGATGATACATTGTTGTTCAATGGTAGCAATGGTGGTGTTCATGGGATAGGAGGTGTGTGAATCTTGGACACATACATTTCGTCTTCATTGTAGTAGGCGTCATAGTTTTCATCTTAATGCGTGGATTAACAATGCTTTATCTCTATCTCTATATTACAAAAGTAGCAAGTGATTTTTGGTACGTAGTTGAGTACACCGTCACCTAATATTAGCTAGTGTGCTCAATCTCTCAAGAATTGCAAACCAAATAATAAAACAATGTCTTGGGGGTGATCAGGAATTCCAAACTAATTGATGCCAAACCACAGTGGGTTATTTATTGCCTAATCCAGTTCCATTTATCTGAAAGTATAAATTTGTCAAACTTTGATGCCTAGCATCCTCTTCTTCAGTAAAGGTGAGGCTAGCCAACTCCTGCTGCAAATCCCGTATCCGTAATGGAATAGTGAGATTCTGGGTCCAATCATTTGTTAAGAGAGTAGAGGCCACAGTTGTATTGCAAGAAATGCAACCTGTGATATTATATTCATACATCTAAGCCTACATAAAAAAATAAAAAAGTTAAGATAAATAATATAAAAAATGCAAAATAAAAAACGTGAAACTTATCCAAAATTAAGTGAAAAAGATTACTATAATATTGGGAATTTGATAAAGTTAATTCACCCAATCAAATAGGTTGGCGGAGAGGATTTATAATAATGTTAACAAAATTTATTAATCGTTGTCACCTGATAAAGTTTAATAACAAAAAAATACTATACATTATTTAAAATGATGATTTAGATCTCTGTTTTTATTATTCACAAATCCACATTAATCTATATAAAAGGCAAAATTATATTTGATATTTTATTCATTAAAACTGAAATCAACTTGAACTCAAGTTCGAAGCCAGAAGGCGAAGATGTAATCAGCTCCTTGCCAGATGTTGTTCTTCGTCACATCCTGTCCTTCCTACCAACAAAACTTGCAGTGGCAATGAGCATATTATCGCAAAGATGAAGGTTTCTCTGGGCTTCCGTCCCTGTTCTTGACTTTGATGTTCCATCCCGACAAAGGTGGTGTCTATGGGATAGGAGGTGTTGAGTCAGACTGAATCTTGTACACATACATTTCGTCTTAATTGCTGCAGGCGTCGTAGTTTTCATCTTAATGCATGGATTAATATTGCATTAAAACGTAAAGCACAAGCGCTTGATCTGTGCATTGACATGTACATAGACTACAAGCGTTTTGCTCATGTTGCCAGTCAAAATTAGGTGGTTTTGAAACTGGGAAGACATCTTGAACTAGATATTTATGGAATATAGATCACGACCACAACTTTTAATATAAATAACGTTTTATAATTATTATATTATAATTAATTAATTATAATTTAAAATTATAAAAAAATTTATTAAAATTTTATATAAAATTTATGCTTATAAATAGCGCTCCCCATATAAATTTTATATGAAGTTAGCTTCCTTTCAAAAGCGTGTTCAATTACTTGACTTTGTAAACAACGTGTGCGCTCGTTTTATTTGACTTGGTCAGAAAAGAAAAAGCCATTAAGAGGCTGGAAAGCCGTACCATTTTTTTTTTTTTTGTTGGAAAACCATAGCTCAACAATTTTTACAAGGTGATATTGCGAGAACGTCTCATATACAAGAATCTGATATGAAACAAAATTCAAATGATTCAATCAAATAATTATTTTTAAAAAATAATATTTATAAATTTAAAATTTAATTTTGTAACTTTCTTATGTTAATATCTTCTTATATTTAGGTTTTTGTTAATTACTTTGATAAAATTTTAATAAATATTGCATAAAAATACAAATAGTATGCAACCGCACATTAGTTTATAACAATGCTAATTATAATAATAAAAAATTTTTATTCATTGTCAGCAGAGTTTTTCAACTGTATCTTGTGTAAAATTTTCATATTTATTCATTTAATTTCTAAATTTTCACTTTCAATGTTTTTTATTATAAAATTTCAATTATAATTAATAGTAATAAGATTCATTTAATATGTATTATACATATATATATATATAAGAATTCTAGTTCCAATAGATCATTTTCATTCGAAAATGATTTACATATTTTTGAATTTTTTATTTATTATATTTTTAAATTGAAAAGATCATATTAAATTTTTATATTTATATATAATTATTATTTAAAAATAAATAAAAATATATTTACGTGTAACACATTTTGACACTTATAATTTTTTAATTTTATCCCTAAACTGTTGTTTCTTTTATACTAAAAAAACTAATATATATAAATTGTAAGAATATATGTCAAACTTTTGAACTGCCAAAAAAATACTATTTTTTATTATATATTCTAAACTGTAACATTTTAAAATTTTTTTATTAAAATTAATTATAAACTTTAGTTGATAGAAAGCAATTCTACTTTACATTAAATTAAGCTTGCATTATATACATATCTATAATTCTTTGATTCTTTGTTTATTTTAGTTTTTTTGTTGCATAAAAAAAACTACTAATCTAAGAAGTGAAAAAAGTACTGAGAATACAGTAGTTGCAGGTGACTACGTACATACTAGTGTTTTATAAATAGAGCCAGTAGAAAGATTATACGAATGCTACGTGGGTCAATGTCATCCTTTGAACTTTGCAGTCAAATGTCTATATAGAAATGATTAATTAACGAGAGAAGCTCCAGAAATTATCCCTTCCCAACGCATTCCGCGGGGATTGATATTGATATTTGTCAAACTTTGCAGTCAAACATGTTTGTTGTCACAGAAACTGGGTAGCAGATTGGGTTATCTTCATTATTCAACGTCTGATTCCTTTCCTCTGGTTCATCGATTCGTTACTGCATCATGAGTTTCAAATTGTCCTTCCTTCTGTTGATGAATGTATTTATTGTTATTTTCTTCTTCGCTGTAAGAAAATCCCTTGCGGCGGAGGAAGATTACTTTACAATCTGCAGCGTCTCCAGAAATTGTGGTAGGCTCAACATAAAGTTCCCATTCTTCATTCTGGAGCAGGACTCTGCATGTGGTTATCCGGGATTCAACATCTCCTGCAGAAACAACACACAACCAATTCTTAGCTTTCCTGACGGCGACTATGTCATCCATGATATCTTTTATCAGAATCAATCTTTTCGCGTGTCAAAAGACATCGCTTTTGCTAGAGATGCGGTTTGCAGCCATTCAATCTCAAACATTTCCTTTCCTGAAGACCGGTTTTATCTCCCCTCAGACCAAAGACAAATATTTTTGCTCTTCAATTGCGACTTAACCTTATTGACCAGGGAACTTTCACAGTCCAAGGTTAATTGTTCTGCTGAAGCTAATACAACGTTGGCACTGTTTAATAACGATCCTATGCAGTATTTTGCTTCAGAAATGTGTAATAACACGGTGGTGGCGCCTGTGGCTACATCATATGAAGGAGAGGGAAGTATCGAAGATATATTGAATAGAGGATTTGTATTGAATTGGATAGCGAGCAACTGTAGCACTTGCGAGGCAAGTGGTGGAAAGTGTGGATTTGATTACAGTACCTACCATTTCAAGTGCTTTTGCCCGGATAGACCTCACGCTTGGTACTGTCCTCCTGGTATGCATTTTTCTCTCGCTTTCTTCTTGTTAATGCAGTCTAAACAATTAAGAGGAGAAACCTTCTTTTGTTGTCTTGGGAATTCTCTATCTTCTCTGTAGGAACAACTGCCATTTTACAGTTAATAGCATAATAAAGATCATTAGACACATGCACGCACGTATCATTAAATATAAGCATGCACTATTATCTATTTGATACAAGCACGCTTGAAAAGCAATCCAAGTAGGAATGAATTGGATTATTAAAATTTTAACTCAAAGCTCAAATATTATGAAATTGATAATATAAGTGAAATAAATGATACTAAGCAATAAAAGAATAGGGAAAGAAGATCAAACACAACTGTGAATAGAGGTTCGACCATTCTCTAACAAGGTACCTATTTCCTCTCTCTTAACTTTCATGGTCAAGCTGAGTTTTGGCTTAGGAAATACAAGGATTGGATTTTTGCTGTTTGAATGCTCTAGAAATGATAGCTTAGTTTTTCCATATAAATCATGGATCTACATATTTTTGAAAAATTCAGACCCGTTAGAAATTAAGATGAAAAGGGATAGCGAAATTTGGTATGATTATGAAATTTAAAGGACTACCTTTTTTTTGTTCGTAGATAATTCAAAGTAGAGATGCGATGATGTACAAATTTTGGTGTATTTCAATTTCTCAGAAAAAATACACTCTTTGACTCTCCATTAGTCTCCAATCAGTCCTGAATCCCGATAGAAACTAGCCCACTTTGTCCCTTTTTTTCTATTGTAATCAGATTATACATTTGCATTTTCGTTTCTCATGTTGCAGGAAATGATTCTACTGGTTTTGTTATTAAAGTTGCAACAGGTAATTTACATAGTCATCAAGCTGATTTGCCTTTTTTTTTTCTTCGGTAATCAGATTATACATTTCACTCATGATTTGGAGGAAAAGTCATTTAAAAAAACCTCTGTTTCTTGAAAATATAGATTGAAATGTTGTGCACATGAGCATTTGGCTCAATGTTATCTTTAAATAAAGCCTATCTTTGAATGCAGCTTCTTCAGTTGCTGGAGCAGTAGTGTTAATTCTTCTTGTCGTCTGCTTGATCAAAAGATTCTCATTCAAGGATGGAACGGAAGGAGATAAGAAAATTGAAGCCTTCCTAAAGGGCCATGAATTCCAAACACCCAAAAGGTATAGATATTCAGATATCAAGACTATGACGAACTCATTCCGGGATAAATTAGGTAAAGGAGGCTTTGGGGATGTTTACAGAGGCAAGCTGCCAGATGGACGACAAGTTGCAGTGAAGATTTTGAATAAATCAAAAGGCAATGGGGAAGAATTTATGAATGAGGTAGCAAGCGTTAGCAGAACTTCCCATGTCAATGTGGTCAGTCTTTTGGGCTTCTGTTTTGAGGGTCGCCGGAGGGCTCTCATCTATGAGTTCATGAAAAATGGATCACTCAACAAGTTCATATTTCAAGAGAAGGAACAACGTCAATTAAAGTGGGAAACTTTGTACCAAATTGCAGTTGGCATAGCTAGAGGGTTAGAATATTTGCACCGTGGCTGTAACATGCGCATTCTGCATTTTGACATCAAGCCTCACAACATTCTCCTAGATGATGAGTTCCGTCCAAAGATATCTGATTTTGGTCTTGCAAGATTGTGTCCCGAAAAAGAAAGTGCCATATCCATGACAGGTGCGAGAGGAACTGCCGGATATATTGCTCCTGAAGTATATTCAAGGAATTTTGGAAGAGTGTCTCACAAATCCGATGTCTATAGTTATGGAATGATGATTTTGGAGATGGTTGGGGGTAGACAAAATATTAATGTGGAAGTTGATCATACAAGTGAAATATATTTTCCATATTGGATTTATAGTCGTATAGAGTTGGATGAAGATTTAGGATTACAGGGTGTTATGGATGAAGATGATCGAGAAAGAGTAAGAAAGATGATAATTGTGAGCTTGTGGTGCATACAAACTGACCCATCAAATCGCCCACCGATGAGTAGAGTGGTAGAAATGATGGAAGGGAACATTGATTCCCTCTGCATCCCACCCAAGCCTTTCTCATCGTCACCTCCAAGATCTCCACCTGCAAATCCTGAAGTACAACCGGTATCCTGACATTGTTCTTCCATTCAAGTATTGGAAAGGGAAGATCCAAGTGCTAAGACATGAAGGACTGTGAATGATGTCGCATATTCTTATGTTTCATTTCTGTAGAATTCTACAGAAAAATGCACCACATAGAATAATTCTATGGAAAAATGAATTACATATAAATTTTATTGATTGTAGAATCTAAAAGTACTAACTCCAATATTCATACCAGAAAAAAGAGAAGACCTCAAATGCCGTCATTGAAACTCCTGATGAGATAATATACTAGTACTCTGAAATCACCAGCCACCCAAAATCATAAAGAAAACAAATCTGCAGAACGGCCGATGAAGATTGCAACGGGGGATAAGAATGCATGGAGTAATTTACTCCTATTCTAAAGATTATACTCCACAGGTTTTCGTTCTAACAAAATATCAGGCATTATTCTATTGATGAATATTTGTTGTCATAACAGCTTGGCATCAGCTAATTGACCAACTTTCCAATAACCACGAATTAGAATTGAAAATGAAACTACGGAAAGTAATAAATGTCTATCTACAGTACAATGGAATTCATGTCATGCTTCCAACATTAATTTTTGTCTGCCAAAGCTATCAATGAGGACGCTATAACTGAAAACATTAGTCGCTATAATACATACAATCTTAAATTAATCCACAAACAAAAATTGGCTAAAAAGCGCAACTGCAGCAAAATGGAGCCTAAATGTTTTCATTTATAGATGGAAGAGACTTCTGTATTGTGTAAATTTATGGATTAAGTATCAAGTAATGTTATAAGACCATGAAGAGATTGTCATCATTAGGATTCATTCTTCTTCTTTTATTAAGGCATTGTATCTTTGACATTCTTTCTAAGAAAACATCCATTAATGCAGTGTCCTGTGAGGGGTGTAGATAGAATCAGTTACTTGCCGAAGGAACTTCATGTCAAATCCTCTCTTTCCTTCCGCTGAAAATACCGTCCGAACAAGCATTTTATCCCCAAATTGGAGGTTTTCGTGGGCTTCTGTCTCTATTCTTGACTTTGAAGTTCGATACTAACAAAGGTGGTGTCTATGGAGTTGGAGGTCATAATTATGTGGATAGAGTACTGATGAGGACATGTAAATCTTCTATGCATAAATTTCGTCTTCATTGCAGTAGGCGCTATAGGTTTCATCTCGATTCATGGACTTATAATGCATTAGAACGTAAAGTTCAAGAACTTCATCTGTCCATTGACAGGTTAAAAGACTATTTCCTTTCAGTTTCTTCTTTGCCTTGTGAAATTTGGTGGTTTTGAAGCTGGGAAGAAATTTATTTTTAAATATTTTCTGGATCATACCGTTTTCCAAGTCTGAAGATCATTCATCTTGACGCAATTGAATTTTGAAGGAGTTCTTCGAGTACAAAGCTTTTTTCTAGCTTCCCTGTACTTGAAGAGTTGACCATGAAAGGATGCAAATTAAACGGAACACAGAATCTTCATGTTTCATCCTCTTCGTTGAAGTCCTCGACGATATAGATTGCTTGTCATACGATCGGTATGATGATTATTATCATGATTTGAGTGACGAAAGTATGCTGACACTGGAATTCTCTTGTCAGATAAAAAATTCATGTTGTTTTGAGTAACCAGAAGAAGAAACCAAATATACCTAGATTTCAAGTTAAGATACTTAGGTGTATTTCTAGTGCAAAGTTTCTTAGTTTATGTGAACCAACTGTGAAGGTCAGCTTCTTCTTCTTCTTGTTTTCTTTTTCCTTTCAATATCCTATCATGATTCTTTCATTCTTTCTCTCTCTCCCTCGCACATAAATCCAACAAAGTTATTTCATTCAAGTGAATGAATAACGCATTCTGATTTTTGGATGTATGTGGAGCTGAAATAGGCTTCAAGTCTGTTGAACTTAAAGGTGCCTAACATGGGGGAGTTTCTTGTGCTAGATGAGTTGCTTTGGCATTCTATTAAGTTTTTTTCAGCAATCGTTCCCGTATTTCTTCCGTAAAGTATTATTAATTCTTTGTTTGGTATGTAGATTTCTCCTCAGTAAAAGCTGAACGTATCTCATGTTTAATAGTTTGACTGAATTGAGGCTGAGATGTAATGAAGGCTGTGGTTCATTGCTGCTGAAGTTGCTTGAGAATTCACCTAATTTGGAAGTGCTTGTCCTTGGGTAGGTGAGTTAGTTTTATCATTATAAATTTTTTTTTTATATACTTGATGTTATCAGGATTTAAATCTCGATTATTGAAATTAAAAATTCATCGCTCTATCAACAAATCATGTAGTTGTTGACTTTATAATTATAATTTCAATTCACTAATAATGTGTCCAAATTAATGTTGAATGTCATTTTTCTGACTTCTGTTCCTGACTTTTCAGGAAAATGGACGGCTTAACCAGAGGCAGCTTGATAAACTTGTGTGGAAGCCACCGCCAAATGCGCCCAAATGCTTGTTGCACCAACTCAAGACAGTTAGAACTTGGGGTTTGAATGGACAGGAAAATGCAGTGAAATTCAATACCTATTTGCAAGGAATGGCAATGTTTCGATGGAACTTGGGCCATAGTGCTATGTCTAACATTGAAGAATGATCGATAGTGAGCTGCTTATCGAACTTTCGTAATCATATGGTAGTGAAATGTCCTATGAACTACCAAATTTTCTTTTCTACATTCCTTGCATCAGATTTGTTCCTGTTTTTTAGTAGGAGCTGATTTATGTTTTCTGAGAGACTGTTTGCATTTTGAAGTCCTCATCCTAAATTCCTAATGTATTCTATTTCATGTTATAACAATTGTGTAGACACATGCATGTACTCACTTACATTATACATTCACTTATTATATTTATTTATTTTACATTTAACATGTATAAAAAATAAAATTTATTATAAAATTTATCATATTATGTCATAATTTATTTTAGCTTATCAAATATAAAATATATATTTTAATTTTTGTCAAATTCATAAAATCATCAAAGAAGAATTATAATATATGATTGACCAGCCAACAATAATAATAATAATAAAAAAAGATAATTAACAAAGTATATGATAAAAACAATCCTGTCCTTTGAAAGGGATAACAACTGTCACATTTATAAGATGTTTGATTTCAGCTTAATTCATGGATTAACATTGCATTAAAACGCAAAGTTGAAGAGCTTTACCTTTGCGTTGACAGGTGTAATAGACTACAGTCTTTCATTTGCTCATTTTGCTAGTCAAAATTAGGTGGTTTTGAAACTGGCAAGAAATCTCGAACTAAATATTTATGGAATATAGGTCTCGTCTATAACCTTTAATATAAATCACATCTTCTAATTATTATATTATAATTAATTAATTATAATTTAAAATTATATAAAGTTCATCAAAATTTTATATGAAGTAATGGTTTTTATATAAATTTTTTATTTTGATTGAATAATTTTAAGATTATAATAAAAAATTATTAAATAAAATGAACCCAACAAACTTTTAATTTTTAATTGAACAAAATTTTAATTTAGATCTAAATGAATTTTTATATTTAAATTTATACAGTTATACTCAAATAAACTTTTAATATAAATTAAATTTTCATTTGAAATAAAAATTTATTTAAAAATAAATCAAAAAATAATAATTTATTTAAGTATAATAAAAATATAAAAATTTGCTCAAGAAAAATAAGATAGTTCATAAGCTTTTTTTTTTAGTATTTTAACTAATAAAAAATAATTAAAATTGATCTATAAATAGATGTAAGAATTTTTTTGAAATAATAAATTGATATGAGAATTAAATTTGAAGAAACGACGACGTAAGTTGTACCCATTTTCTCATTCAAGAGTTAGCTTCCTTTCAAAAGCGTGTTCATTTTCTTGACTTTGTAAACAACGCGTGCGTTCATTTTGCTTGACTTGGTCAGAAAAGGAAAAGCCATTTAGAAGTTGGTGTTGAAAAACCATACCTTCTGTGTAAAATTTTTTATACTTGTTCATTTAATTTCTAAATTTTTCACTTTGAATTTTTTTTATTATAAATTTTCAATTATAATTAATAGAAATAAGATTTATTTAAGATATATTATATATATTCTAAATTCTGAAATTTAAAATTTTTTTTATTAAAATCAATTATAAACTTTAGTTGATACAAAGCAATTCCAACTTACATTAAATTAAGCTTGCATATATATATATATATATATATAATTCTTTGATTCTTTGTTTATTATAGTGTTTTTTTACATAAAAAAAAATAAACTACTAATTAAATTACTAAGAATACTTTGGTGAAAAAAAGTACTGAGAATGCAGTAGTTGCAGGTGACTACGTGGGTCAAAGTCATCCTTTGAACTTTGCAATTAAATGTCTATATCAGATGGAAATGATGGTACTGATTACTTTAATGAGAGAAACTTTTAGAAATTATCCCTTCCCAACCGATTCCGCCGGGGTTGATATTGATTTTCATCATTCAGAGATGTTTGTTGTCACAGAAGCTGGGTAGCAGATTGGGTTATTTTAGTTATTCAACGTCTGATTCCTTCCTCTGGTTCATCGATTCCTAACTGCATCATGAGTTTCAAATTGTCCTTCCTTCTGTTGATGAATGTATATATTGTTATTTTGTTCTTCGCAGTAAGAAAATCCCTTGCAATCTGCAACGTCACCAGAAATTGTGGTAAGCTCAACATAGAGTTCCCATTCTTCATCCAGGAGCAGCAGGAAGCTAGATGTGGTTATCCTGGATTCAACATCTCCTGCAGAAACAACACAAACCCAATTTTTAGCATGCCTGATGGCGATTATATCATCCATGATATCTTTTATCACAACCAATCTTTTCGCGTGTCAAAAGTTACTCCTGACGTCGATGAAATTTGCAGCCAATCAATCCGAAACATATCCATTCCTGGTGACTGGCTTTATCTCCCCCAAGGCCAAGGAGAAATGGTTTTGCTCTCCAATTGTAACTCAACCTTGCAAACGAATTTGACCTGGGATCTTGGACAGTTTAAGGTTATTTGTCCTGCTGAATATAGAACTAAAATAACGTTGGAAATGTTCAGTGACAACCCTATGCTGGATTATGCTTCAAAATATTGTAATAAATCGGTGGTGGTGCCTGTGGCTTTTTATGATGGAACAGATCCGGGTATTAACGATGCGCGAGGCAGGGGGTTTGTTTTGAATTGGATAGCGAGCGACTGTAGCATTTGCGAGGCCAATGGTGGCAAGTGTGGAATTGATAATAGTACCCGCCGTTTCAAGTGCTTTTGCCCGGATAGGCCGCACTGTACTCCAAGACCTGGTATGCTCTTTTCAAGATCTAAAAAAAAAAAAAATCAAATCAAATCTCAATACACGACCTAATAGCGTATAACTATGAGAAAACTTGACATATATCACCTTGGTTTTTCCTTGGAGGATATATAAATCATGGATCTACTTATGTTGAAAAGTTCAGACCCGTCAGAAATTAAGATGAAAAGGGATAGAGAAACTTGGTATGATTTTGAAATATAAAAGATTTGCTTTTTTTTTTTGTTCATAGATAATTCAAAGTACAGATGCGATGATGAACAAATTTTGGTATATTTCAATTTCTCAAAAAAGTACACTCTTTGACTCTCCATTTGTCTCCAATCAGTCTTGAATCCTGATAGAAACTAGCCCACTTTTGTCTTTTTTTTTTCTTCTTCGGTGATCAGATTATTCATTTGCATTTTCATTTCTCATGTTGCAGGAAATGATTCTACTGGTTTTGTTATAAAAGTTGCAACAGGTAATGTACATAGTCATCAAGCTGATTTGCCTTTTTTTTTCTTCAGTAATCAGATTACACATTTCACTCTTATGATTTGGAGGGAAAGTCACTTAAAAAAAGCCTCTGTTTCTTGAAAATATAAAGATTGAAATGTTGTGCACATGAGCATTTGACTCAATGTTATGTTTAAATAAAGCCTCTCTTTGAATGCAGCTTCTTCAGTTGCTGGAGCAGTAGTGGTAATTATTCTTGTCTGCTTGATCAAAATATTGTCATCCAAGGATGGAAGGGAAGGAGATAAGAAAATTGAAGCCTTCCTAAAGGGCCATGAATTCCATACACCAAAAAGGTATAGATATTCAGATATCAAGACCATGACAAACTCATTCCGGGATAAATTAGGTAAAGGAGGCTATGGGGATGTTTACAGAGGCAAGCTGCCCGATGGACGACAAGTTGCAGTAAAGATTTTGAATAAATCGAAAGGCAATGGGGAAGAATTTATGAATGAGGTAGCAAGCATTAGCAGAACTTCCCATGTCAACGTGGTCACCCTTTTGGGCTTCTGTTTTGAGGGTCGCCGGAGGGCTCTCATCTATGAGTTCATGAAAAATGGATCACTCGACAAGTTCATATTTCAAGAGAAGGAACAACGTCAATTAAAGTGGGAAACTTTGTACCAAATTGCAGTTGGCATAGCTAGAGGGTTAGAATATTTGCATCGTGGCTGTAACACGCGCATTCTGCATTTTGACATCAAGCCTCACAACATTCTCCTAGATGACGAGTTCCGTCCAAAGATATCTGATTTTGGTCTTGCAAGATTGTGTCCCGAAAAAGAAAGTGCCATATCCATGACAGGTGCAAGAGGAACTGCCGGATACATTGCTCCTGAAGTTTATTCAAGGAACTTTGGAAGAGTATCTCACAAATCCGATGCCTATAGTTATGGAATGATGATTTTAGAGATGGTTGGGGGTAGACAAAATATTAATGTGGAAGTTGATCATACAAGTGAAATATATTTTCCACATTGGATTTATAGTCGTATAGAGTTGGATGAAGATTTAGAATTACAGGGTATTATAGATGAAGCTGATCGAGAAAGAGTAAGAAAGATGATAATTGTGAGCTTGTGGTGCATACAAACTGACCCATCAAATCGCCCACCAATGAGTAGAGTGGTAGAAATGATGGAAGGGAACATTGATTCCCTCAGCATCCCACCCAAGCCTTTCTCATCGTCACCTCCGAGATCTCCATCTGCAAATCCTGAAGTACAACCGGTATCCTAACATTGTTTTTCCATTCAATTATTGGAAAGGGAATATCCAAGTGTTAAGACATGGAGGACTGTGAATGATGTCGCATATTCTTATGTTTCATTTCTGTAGAATTCTATAGAAAAATGCACTAAATAGAATAATTCTATAGAAAAATGAATTACACAAATTTTATTGATAGTAGAATCTAGAAACACTATCTCGAACATTCATACCAGAAAAAATAGACATCACCTGATGAAATAATATACTAGTACTCTGAAATCACCAGCCACCCAAAATGATAAAGGAAACAGATCAGCAGAACGGCTCATGATAATTGCAGCAGGGGATAAGAATGCATGGAGTAATTTACTCCTATTCTAAAGATTATACTCCAGAAGTGTTTGTTCTAACAAAATATCAGGCTTTATTCCATTCATGAACATTTCTCATCATAACAGCCTAGCCTCAGCTAATCGACCAACATTGCAATAACTCTATGTAACACAATAAATGTCTATCTAGAGTACAATGGAATTCATGTGATGCTTCCAACATTAATCCTTGTTTGCAAAAGCTATCAATGAGGATGCTGTAACTGACAATATTTGTATGCTATAATATATACAGTCTTAACTCAAATTAATCCACAAACAAAAATTGGCTAAAATGCACAATAATTTCCTTAACTTCTGTTAAGAAAAAAACCACCTAATTTATTTTCTCTAATTACATGCTTTGGATGCATCATGGGCAGTGGGCCGGATAAAAATCCTGTGTTCAATAAACCTTGGGAGAGGAAAAGCAAAATAATGAGCCAAATAAACCTGATGAATCATAAAGAGCACATACATATATAAATGCTTAAATGAGAGCATGAAATGGGTAAAATTTATTCAAAAGAAAAGGAACATTTCTTGCTTGGTATACATAATGCAGGTTTTTTCATTGATATCAAGTGCAGCTCCATGTGATCAGTAGCGTTATTGATACAAAATCTTTAACATTATTTTCACAATTTTTTTCAAGCAACATGATTTTTACTTATATTAACTGAGATTAAGATAATTAACCTTATAAACAACATTTATTTGAATTATATCTCAAAATTAAAGAAGGGAAAATCAATAGGACTTACTATTATCTTCAAGAAGAATCTCTCACTTGAATGTAAGTTGACATGTCTCGGAACGTCTTGGAAACTTTGATAACTTCTGGAGCAAGGCAAACTTTGACTCGAAAGACATATCAAAGCTACTACATATTTCGATCAACTCCAAAGCTCTAGCATTCATTAATATATACTCCACCATTTTTAGCTCATGCTCACATCCTTCAAATCCTCTGCAGAGAACTTTTCTTAGGTGTGGGGATAAACATTTGGGAAAACACTCTTGCTTATTCCTCATGATTATTGGATTCTGTGGCCATGCAAAAATTTTCCAGTTAGCACAGATAGCATGATTCATAATTAATAGGACATCAGCAATTAGAAAAACAATGAAAGCCTTTAACATTGCAGTTGGATTACAAAAAACTAGGACTATTTCTTTTATTATTTGGGAAAGAGGAGATTCGAACCCTGATGTTTACGCGGGACTGTTATACACCAACAATTCAGTCAAATGATTGAATACCAAAAGCTATGATTTAAACAACAATGATTATATTCCGTAACGGATTAAAAGTTTTTAATTGAACTAACCTCAAGGACAAGGACTTCTAAATTAGGAGAATTGTCAAGAAAGTGTGGTATCACATCCCAGTCTTCAAAACCAGAATGTAGCTCTAGTTGGGTCAGATTAAGAAACAAAGGAAAGGAGGCATTCTCAAGTGATGCCTATAAGAGGAGAAAAATAAGAGAATCATAGTCACCATAGACATATTAATACCAGAAATAAACATAATAACCATGGTAAATATAATCAGCAAAATAGCATATACAAAAAGAGATGAAAATCAAGCTTTGATACAGATTGTGCACATTCTTACCCTGGAGTTGCCACAACAGGTCCATTTCAAGAAAAGAAACTTAGCATTGCAGAGGGCTTTGGCAAGTTGGAACAGGCCAGTTCCATGAAAAGAAATATTTGCTTTGATTAAGCTAACAAAGACACTTTCCAAGTGCACCAAACTCTCCAAATCTATAATTTCAAGGTACTCAAGATTCGGGGCATTTATCGTAAGCTCATAATGGTAACTGTGACTAAAATATTCTAACAAGTTTTTTGGTTCTAAAAGCTCACTTATGTTCAAAGTCTTCAATGTAGGTACGGAAATAATGAAATTTCTCACATTATCTCTGAAAGATCTGTTTACAAGCAATTCCTCCAAAACAGTACAACCCTGAAGAAGCCTCGAAACAGAATCATTATTCGCGTATTCAACAAAATCAAGATGCAAAACCTTTAGACTTGGAAAACAAACTGACATGCTATTAGGAACATCGATAAGAATTCCTTTACTCAGTTTCAGAACCTTTAAATTCTTGGTCGTGAAAACACAGCTTGGGAGTTTCAAGAAATGGGATTTTTGTGTAGCTGAAACTGAGATATCCACTTCTTGGACGATGTCTTTGCGAATTGCACCATCAATCCATGCGTTAAGACACGAAGGACCGTGAATGATGTCGCAATTGAGACGAAACTTGTCTAGAGAAACCGCCCTGTTGAGGATCAAAGCTCTGTAAACGAAGTGCATGAAGTCTATTCTCTGTTTTTCATTGGTTTCGCAACTTGGTGAGTCCTCAAAATCAAGAACGCGAACCCAAGTCCAAAGTGAATGCCATCGTTTCGAAAGAACGGATGTGGCCACAGCCTCTTTCGTGGGAAGAAAAGATAATACGTGGTGAAGAATAGCATCAGGCAAATGGTTAATGTTTTGGCAAATCGGGTTTCCCGATAATTTTAAGGAATTTGACATTGTTAAAGAAGACGTTCAAGGAACTATAGGGACGGGATTAGGTGAGCTTAATTTGTTTGATTATGTGACTTAGTCATCAAGAGCAATGGTAGAAAACGGATGAAGAAACAAAGAAGTCTTTTTGAAAGTAAGGTTGGGATTGGATTCGTATGTGACAGTGGTTTAGTGAAGTGTTTAGTTGAAGTTTTTGTTCATGGAAGATGCAGAGAAAGTCTTTGAGGAATTGCCAGTGAGAGTTAATGAATGATTGAGGCTTTTATCGTGGGATGCTTTGGTGCTGGAATTCAGGCTGATTTTGCCCACGGGACAGATGATTCGTAGAATCACAGTCTACCCCTGAAACCAGAATTACATATACTTTTAAAAGAACTCTCAAGAAGCAAACTGTAAAAATCCTATTTTCACAAACAAACGCAAGAAAAAAAGTTAAAACAAAAAGCTTTCATTAATCTCAAAGAAACAAGAAGACCCTTTTCCCGATAAATGAAAATAAAGGTGAATTTGCTATCAAAACCCAGAAAAAAAAAATCTCATAAACAGACAGCCAAAGATAGTGAAGAAGCAAAGAAGAAGTTCAGTTTTGAGAAAGAAAGAAAGCTTACAGCAGCAGATTGAAGCAGAAGCTGACATTAAGCTGACATTTTTTAGAGTGACATCAGTTTCATTAACAAAGAGGAAGAAAACAGGCTTTGTTTTGTAATTTTTTTGTTGTCAATTCTCGCTCTTTCAACAGAAACAGAGATTCAATGTAGAAAAAGTTGCAAAAACCTTCGTAATATTAATCTGTAAAAGGCAATAAAAGCAGTTTTATAGATAAACACAGGGAATCAATACTTTAAAAAAATAATTGGAGTGATAATTTGGGATAGAGAATTTTATTTGAGAAGCAAAGTGTTTGTTTTTTTTTTTATCACATGAATGTTTTATTTTTTTATTAATTTTGTTGGGTTGTTCCGTTCATGTGTAAATAAAAAGTACTCACATATATGCTTGTAGAGCTTACATCCGTAGTTTCACAATTTTTCAAAAAAATTGTTGAAGAGGCAAAAATTAAAAAGAGAAAAAGAAGGCTAAAATAGAAGCTTTTGGAGTGTCTTGAAGGTTAAGGCTCCAAATTCACGATTTTGTTAAAAAAAAAAAAGAGAGAGACTTAAAAAAAAAAAAAAGAAAAGAAAAAGGGGAAGAGAATGAAAAAGTTGTTATAAACATAAAGTAACTAAAAGTAAACGATTCTGGAGTGTTCATAGATGTTCATAGATAAAATTGAATTATATTCATATTTGATATTAATAATTCATATATTTATTCAGATTTAATTTGATTTAAAATTTTAGGTTTTAAATTTTTTTAAAATTTAATTTAAATTAAAAAATAAATCTTAAATAGACCCATTAAACTTAAATTATATAATAAAAAATTAAAAAATATTATTAAATTAATGTTAATAGGATTATATTTAATTCATATATATATAAAAATTAAAAATAAAAATTTTATAAAAATTAAAAATTAAGTTTTATAACATATATATATTATTTTTATTTTTTATATATGTAAATTAATTTTTATATATTTGAATTAATTTATATATATTTCACATATATATAAAAATAAAAATTTTATATATTTGTGAATTCGAGTCAATTAAATCAAACTCGAGTTTTTAATTTTTTGTTTAAGAATCGATTAAAAATTTAAATAAATTTAAAAATTGTATCTAAACTCGTTTAATAAATTTTAATTTTTTGTTCAAACTTTCTTAAAATTTAGATAGACAGGTAGGTAGGTTTGGGAAGGTAATCCAACCTTTAAACAGGTTTACTTATATTTTATCACTTTTACAATTTTGAATGTTTAAGAAAAGAGACAAAGGGGAAATGAAGAGGAGAAAGAGAAACAAATAGAGAAACTTCATGATTATGAAAAAATGAAAATGGGATAAGAAGAGAAAGAAAGTGATTGGAGGATGGGTATAAAACAACCTTACATAAAAGTGTAAGAAAAAGATAAGTGTTGATCGTTCGTCAATTTGCTCTAAGAGAGAGATAGGGGTGTTGATCTTGTGTATTTTTATAAAATATTTAATGTTGCCTTGATATTATTCCTTTTGATTTTTCTCAAAATTTATAAGAGTTTTTTGCATGAACTTTTTATCTTCATCAGATTAAGGTATTCTAATCACTTGCTTTAAATTTTGGATTATTATATTATTTTAATATTTATTATATTTATATACCTTTTTGATACACGAACAATGGTTTTGATTTTGTTTCCTTTTTATAATTAACGCTATTTATTTTATTTTTATTTTGTATCCTTACATCATTTTATTTATTTAGTTGTTTATAATTAATGCTATTTACACGTTTCATTCTATTTTAGATTTTTTATTAAGGAATTGCATACAAAATTTCCTCTTATTCTTTTGGTTTTTTTTTTTTTTTTTGCATGCATTTAGGTTTGGTTTGTTGCATATAGATTGAACCCATCAATATTTTTTTTCCACAAAATTTCCCCATTGGCGAAATGTTCATATTTTCAAACAAAAAAGATTTGTTTTTGTTTAGTTATTTTTTTTATTATGAAGGGTTTGTATATGATAGTAGACAGTGCAGGAAAGTTGGTGATGAATAGAGTGGTGACGAGAGAGAACTTTAACATTTTAAAAGTGTGAGAAAAGAAATTAGAGGTGTATAAAAAGAACCCTAGAGTGGTGTTGATTGTGCTTTACTCACATGGTAATGCAATTGATTTGGGTTAAATGTATGATTTTTTTTGTTTTAGTGAATTAGTTTACATCTTTGATTATTGGGGTAAGTTGAAAAACTTAATCTAAGACATTTTATTTGAATGATCATGTATTTATTTATTTTATTTATTTTATGTGCATTTTGTAAGTATGATTATTCTAGATATGGGTAGTCAATTGAAAAGGTATGCAAACATATTGGTTTTTCTTTTTTTTTTTTTGGTTATGTTAATTATTTGTTTGGTTGGTAAGAAAGAATGTTATTTAAGGAAGAAGTTTTCAAACATTGGATCTTTCATTTTGTGATTTAGTGATTGAGAAAGTTAGGGAGTGATGAGGAGAGGACCTATGCCTTCAATTTTTATTTAGTCATCACTTTGCTTTTATGTTTGTTAACTGATATTTTAGTTGTCAAAATTTTGAAATATTTGATGAATCAAGAATTTAATACATTTTAGTTTTTTTCCTCTTCTGGTATAAATGATTACATTGTTTACTACGATTATTTTTAAGACTAAAAAATTTTTAATGCAAATCTAATTTATTATTTTAATTTTAGGTTACTTATCTTTTAGCCCATGGTGTCTATGAAAAAGGGATCAATAAGATATGTAAGATAACACATGGTAATAGGGTGAAGTTATTTTCCATACCTTGGTTGATTTCTACTTTTGTTGTTGCAAATATTATTATGTTTATCATCATCATGTGTGTGAATAATTATCCCAAGAATTTTGTTTCTCACATTACTGATTTCTTAAGTAGGTCTTCCTTTTAGCCTTTTAAGGAGAATTCTCTTGTGGGTTCTTTTTCTGCCGCTAAGCCATTTATTGTTTTGTTGGTTTGTTTTTCTTTGTTTCAATTGAATTTTTTCTTATTTTTTTAAATTTTATCTACTTTTTAGTTCATGGTTATTGGGTCTAGGATGTTTAAAATGAGGGCTCTAGATGTAAAGAAAGTGGTTGATGGACACTAAAGATATCACCTTATTACTTGCAATTGGTTACATAGAGGAATTTTTATTTGTTGGCAAACATTTTGAGTCTTTTAATAATTAGAATCTATAGTTCATGCTTACCTTGGAATTGATGCATAGGGTCTGCAATTTGTAAATTGTTTGAACTTCCATTTTTTATTGTTGCTTTTGTAAAATTATTTAATTCATGCTTGCCTTGGAATTGATGCATAAGGGCTACAATTTGTAAATCATTTGAACTTCCATTTTATATTGTTGCTTTTGTAAAATTGTTTATGTTTCATATCTATTTTCTTAGCTCAATTTATGCATGTCTATGGAATCAACAAAGGCATGTTGGTAAGATAAGCCTTGTTTTTTTTTTACTAATTTTAACTTTTTTTACTAATTTTTTTTCTTAAGAAAACTATTTTTTAATTTTTCTTACAAGTTGGTTTGACAAGTTTGAGGTTTACTATAATAGATGTTTGCCATATGAATCTCTACAAAACGTTATGCATTCCACATGGAAGTGGTGGACTTGGCATGGCACTTATTGGAGTCAAGAAGCATTTGACACCATTTCTGCCTCCACATCTTGTGGTATATATATGCTTGTGTATGTATAAATTTTTGTCTTTTCATGTTCATATTATGAATCTTTAGGCATCCCTGTTAAAAGAATTGCATTCTAAAAGTTGGTTTAGACTAGACTTCATTTTTATATCTTATCTTTAAAATTTACTGATTAACAATATTTTTATCATAACTCTATCGACATATATGTGGTTGAAATTTTGAATATATCATTACACATGTTGTTAGCTATGACTTTTAGTCTTATCATTTACCACGAGTGTTACATTGCTAAAGGTATTTAGTGATGGATTCTTCTGCCACAAGATATTTTTTTCCAATGTTGATTTTGTTATAATCATATTGTAGGTACCTACTAAAGCTTCAAGGATAACTATCTTGAATACAAATTACATGGTAAAACGCTTAGAGGTAATTGCCTTTTCTTTGAAAATTTATGTTTATAACATGTGGAAATCAAAATACGTTTTGATTTTCATGAAAAAGTATGACCTGTCTTTTACCATCTATTATCATTTTAGGTTTCTTTTGTTTTGTAAAAAATGATTTTTGAAAAATAATTTTTAAAAAATGTTTATATTTCCTAAATTGAAAGAGATTTTTTATTGTTTGGATAATGAAAAATGTTTTTTATTATTTGGTTGTTTTTTGGAAAATTCGTTTTTTCTTTCCAAATAATATTAATATAATTATTAAAATATTAAAAAAATTTATTATTAAAATATATTGAAATTATTTATTATTAAAATTATTAATATTAAAAAATAATTATATTTAATAATATTATTAAATATTATGTTAATATAAAAAATACTTAAAATAAAACTATTTATTATTTTTATATTATTTATGAATATATTATAATATTATTTATTAATATATTATATTAATAGTATATTATTTATTTATATAATATTATTTATAAGTAAAATTATGCTAAAAAATATTGATAAATAATTTTATTCATAAATAATTTTTTTTTGAAAAATATCTTTTTCTTTTCAAATCAGTAAAATAATTTTTTAAAAAATAATTTTATTTTTTATTGATTAAAAAATTATTTTTCGTTGACTAATTAAATTTTTACCAAATAAATACTTAAAAATATAAAAATTATTTTCTACTAAACAAATGAAATCTTAAAACTCTAAAATTAGTTTTTTCTTATTTTCTATTTATATTTTTAACTTTTTTAATAACTTAACTTTCATCTCTCTCATTATGATAAAAAAATATATAATTACATGATAACACATTTATTAAATTCTTCTGATACCTATTTTGCCATTTGGCTGTTGGCTATACAACAAGTAACTTACTTTCATCTCCAATGGCGTAGCAGCATCACATAATAACACATTTATTACACTCAACATGACCGCACATTTATCCCTACTGTCCTGACCTACTGGCCACGGAGTCTTAGAAGGAACATAAAAGGCTCAGTTTCAAACCAACCTATCCCCCGTACCCTATGTTAAAAAAAAAAAAAATGATTACACATGCGTTCAACGGCGTATATAACTAAGTAATATATTTATAATGTTGCACTTTTGCGCCCTGTTGTCCGTAATCAATTTTGTTGGCGGGTTCATAGGTTTGGTGTATAATTGAGTTATTAAAGTATAACGAAAAATTATTGTTATTTTTTAATAGAATAAATTATTCTTATAATTGGTTTCATTGAGAAAAGAAAAGTGGTTCAAATATTAAATTGAATTAAGTTGGAGTTGATTCACAAGAACGATTTAACAATATTCATGGGTACCATGTTGATGAGTCTATTCATGCTTCGTCCAATGGAAATTGGAGGAAAAAAAAAAAGAAAAAAAAATATAAAAGAGTGATAAATGAAAACAACATAAACTGAGTAATTGATTCTCCCATTATATAAAAGACGAGTTTATTTTATTATCGGACAAGATTTTGCATGGGGACAAGGATTTGAGGGGCCAGAAAGCCATTAACAGCGCCGAGTGCAGAAGCAGCGACGGCGGACGCCTCTGCACTTCCCACCTGAGAAACCTTCATTCTTACACACCATCCCACAGTTGTGATGGCTCAGACATGGTCCCTTAAAACGATGGCTCTTTGACTCGCAAACTCTTGCCTCGCTCGGCTCTGCATTCATCAACAAAATATGATAAAAAAAATTATTACAATAAATTGAAAGTAGTGAAAAAGAATCAGATCATACTAAGATATAACATTCGTTGGAATCGAAGTAACAAAGAAAGAGATCATTTACGATTACCGGAAGCTGAAACAATGAACAGCAGCAGCAGCAACATCCCAAACAACTTCTTCATCTCCATGTCAGCTATACTTCTAAAAACAACAGCAGATGCATAAACTATTAGCTTATGTAGACAAGTCTATACTTCTATTTCAATTCGGCATTGATTGATTATGTATAAACATGCCCGAGCAAGTAAAGGACGTGGCAGCAGGTTTGCTTGACACGAAAGACAACTAGTTTCTGCTTCTGCCAGATGCTATGGGCACGTGTTGGAAGAAATGGTGTACTTGTCATCTGCTTGTAGTTGTAAAATAAAAAGTGATATGTTACGAATACCTCTTTTGTGGCCTATTCATCAAATATTTTATATTATATTTGGTACGAAGGAAAAAAAATAGAGAAAAAGGAAAGCAGCCCTGTAAATGTAAAGCAGAGTAGAGATTACCTATGAGGATGCAGAGAATGAAAAATCAGCCATTCATGAGCACAAATTGGTGAAATATGTAAAGAAAGATCTCTTTAGAAGACTCATTTTCCATGCTGTTTTAAAGATTATATTCCACAAGAGTTCGTTCTAACAAATCATCAGGCATTATTCCATTCGTGAACATTTGTTCACATAACAGTTTGGCCTCAACCAACCTACCAACTTTGCAATAACCACGAATCATAATTGAAAATGCAACTACATCTGGCAATAAATGTCTATCTAGAGCACAACGGAATGCAAGTGATGCTTCCAGCATTAATCCTCGTTTGCAAAAGCCATCAATGAGGATGCTATAACTGACAATATTTGGACAGATTTTGTTTTCAAGCATCTCTTCGTGAAGCTCGGTAGCAGTCCTTATATCCTGAGATTTGAAGTAGCCATCAATTAGACAACTGTATGTTACCACGTTGGGCTCTGGCACCTTCTCCAACATTTTGGAGAACATCAACATAGCTTCGTCCATTCTACCCTCCTTGCAGAAAGCATCAATCAATATGGTAAAAGTAATTGAATTGGGTCCAAACAGGGGAGAAGTCAGCTGTTTAAAAAGGCTGAATGCCTCATCCAATCTTTTAAATGAGCAATAACCACATATCATTGTGTTGTATGTTATAATATCAGGTTTTGGCCCTTTCTCAACAAGTTTACTGAACAGTTCTGACGCCCCTTGAAGATGACATTCCTTGAAAAGCATACTAAGGAGAACATTATATACTGCAATATCAGGAACCACTCCATTCCATTGCATCAGCTTAAAAAACTGCAGTCCAGCAGATTGATTTTTATTTTTGCAGAATCCATCCATGAGGGTACAATATGTTATAGCGTCTCCAGGGAAACCCCTCTTAAGCATTTGAAAAAAAATTAAGAGTGCTGCATTCAATTTTCCTTGATTAGAAGCATCTCTAACAAGGACAGTGTAGGTCACCATATCTGGTTTTATGTTGTACATTCCCATTAAAGTATACACCTTCACAGCATTACTTAACTGTTTCAACCTACAATAACCATCCATCAAGGAGTTAAAAGTAAAGATATTCGGTTTCAGACCCCTGCTTACACTGCTAAAGAAGAACCTAAGAGCATCTGTCACCATCCCTTCTTTACAAAGACCATTTATTAACACACTATAAACAACAACATCAGGTAGATGGCCCTTTTTTATCATATCATCAAATAAATGAAAACCATCTCTCAAATTTCCCAACTTGCAAAAGCCATCAATGAGACTACTATAGGTTATGAGTGATGGCTTGAGACCTTGTTTGATAATTTGACCAAATATGCCACAAGCTTCAAGCATCCTTCCATTCCCATTCAACCCATTTATGAGAGTGGTGTAACTAACCACGTTAGGTGATAAGCCTTCCTCCAACATTCTCTTATAAACCTGAACCACTTTTCCCAAATCCCCTACCTTTCCAAAAGCATCCATAACCAAGCTGAAAACAACTACATCCAACTTGACACCTCGATCTAATGCCATGGAAAAAAGTTTCTCTCCCTCATCCAATCTCCCTGCCTTGAAATAACCATCAATAAGAATAGAATACATGATTAAATCTGGCAATACATTCCTCTCCGTCATAACATTGTAAACCTCAATTGCTTTATCTAATTTTCCATCTTTTGAATACATTTTAATCAATGTGCTAAACGTCACCACATTTGGCAATGGACCAAGAGTAAGAATCATATCAAACAACTTTGAAGCAACTCTTATTTCATTATTTACAGAAAGACACTTTAAAATCTTGTTACAAGAAACAATGTCAACCCCTAAACCTCTCTCAGTCACCTCTTTATGAAAATTCAACGCCTTTTCAACCTCCCCATTCTTCAAGAACCCTTCCATCACAATCCCATAAACACATAAGCTCGGTGTTCTAAACAATCTGCATAATTTACCATAGTTATCAAAAATTATATCAACACGATTCGCATTAACTATAGAATCCAACATCCTATAAACCAAATTATGCGAGATAAAAACGCCCCATTCAGACATTTTCACTAACACATAACAACTCATATCCAACATCCCTTTGTTACAGTAACTTTCCAACAAAAACCCAAAAACATAATTCGGGTTCGAATCAAAATCCTTAAACCCTTCATTAAAAGCATCAAAAACATCAATATTTGTACCAAAATGGGCGATCATATCATCGAACACCTGAGCTGCGGCAGCCAACATTCGATGGCGGAGCAAGAGGTGAATGAGTGCACAGTAGGAGGGCACATTGTGAGGTGACTTTAAGAAACTTTGGGTCCATTGGAAAAAGTTAAGGGCAGAATTGGGTTTGGCTTGGAGGGCTAAAAGTATGGGTTTAATGTGAGATGGTTGGAGTTTTGAAAGTAAAGGTGGGTTTAAGACAATCTGTTGTTTTTGGTGAAGAAAATATTGAGAAATTTGGTCTATTAGGGTTTTAGCTGAAGATGAAGAAAAGGGTTTCTTTAGAAGCTTTGAAGACAACATTTGGGGAGTTCCATATCGTTTTTTGGGGGAAAGAATATGGTTTTAGCTTTGCCGTTTCTCTTACTGACTATGGTACTTCGGGTTGCTCTGCTTTCAGTTGAAGCCACATTGCTTTAAAAGGGTAGACTTGGAATTTCATCCTTCCTAAAGGTATAATAACCAAAAAATATATATAAAATTACTATTCTTTTCAATTTCTTAAGTCAATCTTTTTACTTCGTTATTGTAATAAAAAAATTTCTTGAAATTATTTTCAGAAATATAAATTTTTATATGAATACTAAGCAAGTTGTTCAATTTTAGACTTCAGTGCTTTGAACAACGTTTTAATTAGAAAATAAAACAAAATTTTATATTTAATATATTACCATAATATAAATTTATATATTACATCAATTAATCATATAATATCACTTCATTAATTAAAAAAATATAAAATTTTACGAACTTTTAATAAGGTGACGGATGAACTTGGACTTTGATGACTTTTTTGGAAATCCATAAAATTAAGTTTTTATGTATTTATTTTTAAGAGTTTATAAAATTTATATTATATCATTGATGAGATAGTATAATATGGTTAACTAATAATATATTAAATATAAATTCATCAAATAAATATAAGAATTAATTAACATCCAATCTAAAGCTAATCCATTAGTATCATCTGACAATGGTGTCATAAAAAAGAGCTAGAAGCATGATATTTTGTGGAAAAAAGAAAACAAGAAATGGCATAGAAGCAGTATTTTCTATAATGAGGTCCATAGTCTTGTTGTCCTTTCTGAGTTTAAGCTGCAGTCATCAATTGGGATAAGCTGTAAAGAAGCAACAACATGAATAATCAAGGATTTCAAATTAAGATACAAAATTTACTTCGTGTTATGTTGCCAAAATGAAATCCCATTTGTTAAGACCTGAATCACCTGATCTGCTGAGGAACAAGTGTTTCCAACTGACTCTTCCGAGGATCAACAAGGGGAAGTTAAAGATTAAATGCAAATGGATTAACAAAAGCAACTAGTTCCTTTAAAAAATCTATTTGTACCATTTGTTCTTTGACATAAAAACAAGGAAATAATCTAGAGGCAATCTAATTTTCATAGTGAACAATTGTTTTTAGGCAACAATAAAACCAGTTCATATAAGCTGTAGAAAATGGCCAGGCTTGTGGCCTGTTTGTAGACAACTAGATTTTTAATTTTAGGGATCAGTATTCAATTGCGATAGCCTGAAATATATATAAAAAAAAGCTGTTGGAAATTAAAAGCTATAAAACCACTTGTTTCAGTACTAGTCTCTTAGACCCAACAAACAATCATACCAGGCAATTTTTTTTTTAAGAATTACAAACCAAAAGAGGTGGGGAAACAGGACCAAACTGTATCTTGAGACAAGTATGTCAGTTGAATTGAAGTTGACATGCCTTGGAGCCCCTTGGGAACATTGATAATTTCCTGAGCATATCAAACTTTGAATCCATAGGCATATCACTAATTCCATTAGTACAAATATCCATCATCTTCAGAACTCCAGCATTGTTCAAAATGTATTTTACCATGCTCAGCTGATATCTTAGACCTTCAAACCCTCTAAAATACACCATTGTTAGGGATGACGGCAAACATTTAGGAACATACTTTGGAGGTGTCCAGCGGCACTCAAGTCCAAGTCCACGGCAATTAGCATTCTGGTGACAAGAGAACAACCAAAGCACAATTCATTAGACCAATAATTAGAAGAAATAACGACCACTACTTTTATCATTGATTTCTCAGCTAAATTTGACTCACCTTGGCAAGAACAAGAACTTTCAAATTATGAGAGCTTTCAAGGAAACGTGACAGCACACTCCATCCACCATAACCAACATTTAGCTCCAATCGAACCAGATTAAGAAACAAAGGATAAGTTTTGAAGTTGTGCTGTGTTTGTGACAGGAGACAATTGCATATATATCAGCAAAAAAAGAATTGAGCATTGGCAATGATCCCAACCATATAAATTGTCAGAACATCCTACTCACCATTATTGTATACCAATCCCAATTGAAGGAAAGAAACTTAGCATTGCAGAGAGCTTTGACAAGTGGAATGTGGTGATTTCCAAGTAATGAAACTGTTACATTTGCTTCATCTAAGCTAGAGACATCCTCAACATCATATTCCAGTTGGGGCAGGTTGGCTTGGAGATTTAGGTACTGAAGAATTGGGGCATTTATCTTCAGTTTGCATGAAACCTGTCCGGTGAAAAAACTAATGAACAAACTCTTCAATGTAGGAATGGAAATGTTGAAATTCAGTGCATTATCACAATCCAAATTTTTAAGAAGCAATTCCTGGAGAACCGGACAACCACAGAAAAGCCTAGAAACAGATTCATCACGTCTGCACTTGATCCAGACAAGATGCAAAACCTTGAGACATGGCAAGGAAACTGTTCCAGGTACATCAAGCTCAATCCCATGATTCAGTTTCAAAACATGTAATGTTTTTGCTGTGAAAAGGGCACATGGTAACTTCAAGAGAGGGAAATTTTCCATTCCCTGGATGTTTATGTCTAATTCTTTCACATCTCTCGCAACTGCTGCCCAAAAACAAGTTTTAACATACCAAGGATGGTAAACTGCATTGAATTTGAGACAAAACTTGTCTAAAGAAGCCACTTTGTTAAAGATTAAAACTTTAGTAAAAAATTGCATGAAATCAATTCTAAGTCTTTCATCAGTTTTGCAAAAAAGTGAGTCCTCAAGATCAAGGATTGGAACTGAAGTCCAAACCCAAAGCCATCTTTTTGATAGAACGGAAGTGGCCACTGCTTCTTTTGTTGGAAGAAATGATAATATGTGTTGAATTAGAACATCAGGCAATTGACTGATTCTATCAAGGCAAGTTTCTTCATCAGAAAATTTTGGACGCTTTGGGCTCACATTGCTTTCTTGATACGCAAGGTTTGCCATTGATGGTGAATGTGGAAAATGAGTGGAGAGACATAAATTTATAAATAGAGGGAAGGGGATGGTTCCAGACTACTTCTAGTACTGTACAAACCATATTCTCATGCACTTGGCATGGAGAATTTCTTAAGTTAGTCTTGTATAACAAATTAATTAAAATGCTGACACTATTTTGCATGTCAGTGTGAAAGTAAAATTGCACCAATTGAAATAATAATTATACATAATTAAATTAACAAAAAAGTTGTTTGATTTCATCAATACGAGTTAGTTCAGTTGACAAGAGAAGTTTTTTTTTTTTTTTTTCTTCTCAATGAGAGATGTGCCCCAAAGAATAAAATCTTGAATGTACTAAATTAAAGGAGTGTGTCTTCAAAAATTATTAAAAAAATTCATAATTTTAATCATCGGGGGCTTTTGAATTCCATTAAAACATAAGAGTTAGGCAATTAGCACACGGAACTATTAAACTTTTCTTGATAAAAAGTTGCTTTGCAGTCCAAAGCTAGAATAAATAAATCAGACAAATATGGTTTCCTTGCAAATATTCTTGTCCTTTTTGTTTTTTATCCTTTGGCACAAAAATGATACTTCATAAACATTTTATAAACTTAATTATCCATGGATTGGCAAAGAAATGATTCTTCAAGATGGAGAACTAGGTGTTTTAGTTTCAGGGGTAATTTCGTCCTGCTCTGACTCATCGTCCACTTCCATTGTTGCCTGTCGCCTGCTGGTGGTCTAAACATCTTTTCTCCTCTGTCTCTCCATTATTTACTTCTTCAATTGTTAAAGTCTTTCTTGCTTGCTTAGAAACGAAGCAAAAGGAATGCACTGACATTTGCTAGACCATCTTAAAACAATTACTATATCTAAAAATTGTGACACTTTGACAATATAAAGGCTATAGCAATGTATCTATAAAAAATGCAAAAGTTTATTAAAAATTTGCTTCTCATGGAAAATACTTCGCCGGTAATTAAAATTTTGAATACAGTAAATCGATACAAGGAGTACACTTGAAAAATATAAAAATTTGTGTTGAAACAAAATAAATGATCAAGAATCTAAATTTCAAGCTTAACATGAATTTTTTTTAACTATGTACAAATTAGGTAGACTCAATACATTTATGACAAGATTTATCCCAAGAATGAAGACCTAAAGACAAAAGGGGGGAAAAATAGCTGTACTTGAGACTTACAGTATTGCAACTTGACATGTCTTGGAGCCCCATTGGAACTCTGATAATTTGTTCAGAACAAATGACTTTGAATCAGGAGACATATTAAGGGTACAAATTTGCATAGTCTTCAAGACTTTAGCATTCTTTAAAAGATATTCTATCACTTGCATTTCACTTCCTAAACCTTGAAACACTTTAAAAGAAACTGCTGTTAGATGTGATGATACACATGTAGGAACATGCTCCGGTTGTGTCCATCGACTGTCGATTGTTGAGTTATTCTGAGAAATCCACAAAACAAACAACACAAATTGAAGCTACAATTTAGCAAACACAACTTGATTTTCGGATTTTTTGCCTTGATCGTCCAAATTTGAAAAAAAAAAAAAAAAACCAGATAATTTACCCGAATTTTATTATTTACTACTATTAACTCACCTCAACAAGAAGAATTTCTAGATTATCAGAGAGTGTAAGCAAGTGTGATAATGCATCCCAGCCAGGCAAACCAATTAATATCTCCAATTGGACCAAATTATGAAACATAGGATAAGCATAGCCATGGGGCACCTGTAAGATTAAAATAGTATACAAAAATAGATTTCTTAAATGAATGAAAGTAGAGGTTTTGAACATAAAAGAACCAAAAGTCAAAATTGAAAACTGTCACAAAAATGAATAAAATAGTGACAAATTAACGCATTCTTACCGGTTCGAAATACCAATATGAAGCTAAGGAAAGAAGCTTGACATTGTAGAGGGCTCTGATAAGCAGCTGATTTAGGCTAATCACATAATTAAATTTAATTTTGGCTTGAATTAAGCTAGAGAAATTTCCGATGAAAGAAACTTGATGGTAAGATTCTTCGAGTTCCAAGTACTCGAGAGCTGGTGTATTTATCTCTAGTTTGTGCTCAGCATATCGAAGGTTAATGGACAAACTCTTCAAAGTTGATGACAAAAGTTTGAAATTAAGTGTCTTTACACGGTCAGGTGTTTTTAAAACCAGTGTCTCAAGAACAAGACAACCAGAAAAAAGCTTGTCAAAAGATTCATCATTGGCGATGTTGACATAGAAAAGCTGCAAGGTTTTGAGACTGGGAAAACAAACTGACGACTCACCAGGAAAATCAATAAGAATCCCACCACTTAGTTTCAAAAACTTGAGTTTCTCAGCCTTGAAAACCTGAGAGGACAACCTCAAAAAGTAGTCATGTTTTGGGGTTGTTCTGATGGAGATATCAATTTCTTGGACACCTTTATCAACAGCAGAGCAAACCCACATGTTAAAACATTTGGGTTCGTAAATTTGATGACAGTTGAGGCGAAACTTGTGCAAAGAAACAGCTTTGTTAAGCAACAAAACCCTAGTGACAAATCGAACAAACTTGATCCTGGTTGCTCGTCTGGTTTGGCAACGGATTGAGTCCTGAAGATGAAGTACTTGAAGTTTAGTCCAAAAAGGATACCATCTTTTGGAGAGAACTGAAGTAGCAACGGCATCTTTGGTTGGCAGAAAAGATAGTATGTGCTCTATTAACTCATCTGGCAATTGGCTGATTCTGTCGGATGATGATCGATGGTGTTTCCAGGTTTGGTCTACTGAGATTTTAGCCATCTTCATCATAAATCAAACTGCCTAAACCAAGGATTTTTTGGTTTGGCAGAGTCTTCATGAAAGGGAAAGTGAAAAGCTAAGCATCAATTGAGGAGGAGAGCGACTTATACTCGTTAACTTTGTTCGAATTATTATTATTATTATATTACCTTTTTAAACCGTCGTTTTCATGGACGATCGAATAAATTTAAGAGATAAAGATTAAATTTCCTTTTAAATTTATTAAAATTAAAAATTAAAAAAAATATTGTATATATTGTATATAGCGATCCTTTCTCACTTAATAAAATAATAAAAAAGGAGACTTGATGTAGCGTAATTAAAAAATAATAAATTATTTTTTTATGCTTAGATTGCCGATTATACGTTGATTACCGAAAATAATAATTTTTAAATTTTATAAACTAATCGTACGATTGCACAGTTGCTGACATAAGGGTGAAGTATTCATCTTGTAACATAAGGGTATAATTAGGACACTATGGCATATTCGTCAAGCAATTCAAAATTATTCAAAATTACCTCAATGCTTAAAATACCAAAAGAGTCCTTTTTTCTTTGTTTTTTTTTTTTTTTTTTCCCACATGGACACTTACAAGGCCATAGAGGTGAGTTTGAGATGATAAATTTATCAAATTATTTTAATGACAATTATCAAAATTGATGAATTTAAAATATTTAAAAAAATTGTTGACAAAAAAATAATTAAATTTTAAAAAAATTGTGAATAAAAATGAGAAGTTACTGAAAAAATTCATAGATTTGTTGTCAATTTACGCGTAGCTATGGTAAGTTGATTCTAATGGAAAGTTGTTAGAAACAGCTTTTTTTCAGAGAGTTTTCATAAACTTTCCTTTTAAAAGCTCATAGAGTTACTTGGTCAAAAGAAAACAGTTCATGGATAGTTCATAAAAAACGAAAAAGGCCAAATTCGCGGGCCCCGTCCAATTCCAAGGCTTGAAAGTCGAATCGATGAAGAAACGGTGTCGTTTGATACACACACTTTTTACCAGAACAAAACCCGTCAATCATCTGCAAGGCTACTTTGAAAGCTTCAATTCTTATTCGTCATCCATTTTCTCTCATTTTTTATGAACACAGCTCGCTTACAACTCATTTAAAGAGTTTATATATGCTTATTCGTATAAATCATTTCATGCATATTCCGAAAATTAAGATACAAATCTATATATATGAAATTTTTTGGTAAAAAAAAAAGAATTGCAAATGATGAAATTCAATATTCAAATCTATTAGATATTACTTTTTAAGAATAATCTCGTGAACTAATATATAATTTTAATTATATAATAATTTAAAAAGAAAACCAATTTGTTTTCTTTTTGATAAAAATAGTTCAACATTTTAGCATCCAACATGCAATGGCAAAAGCATAAAATCTCATCCATTAACATAGAAGAGCTATTAGGTATAAAGATCAATTTAGCACAACATACTACTTTACTTAAGATGGATCACAAAACATGCTATTCCTAAGCAAAAATGGGAGCGAGGGTGATCACAAGCTAATTAAAAAACTGTTAACCCAATAAAATAGATACGATTATATTCAACCTAGTAAGAATAGAAGAAAATTCCTTGCTCTGGTAGGCAGTCAATATAAAGCTTAGAGCTGATCCATCTATAAGCATCTTACACGGCTAATTTCGAATGCATCAACTCTGAGCAGCTGTTAGCCCCGTATAGGCTATCCCTTCTTACATGGCAACATCTGGATCCAACCTTCTTTGTATGGCAGCTGCAGCCTGTAAAGACAGAACAGCAATTCTACATCAATCATTTGTGATGAAATAAATGAAGATTTGCGCAGATGAGATAAAACCAATTGCGTATCCTCACCTCGAAGTTGCCAATTTTGTACTGGTAAGCCATCTCTTCTCGTAGTTGAGCTTGTTCTTTCATTGCTTGCGCCTGCAAAATCAGATAAAAGATGGAGGTGAGAAAATCTAACTTGCCGTGGGTTTAACGGATTACCAGCAGAAGAGCAACTAAGCTTAAAAGGCTAAGAAAGATCTAACCATTCCACTCTGCATAGCACGTTTCAAAGATTCAACCTGTTCTTCCTTCTGCTTTTCACGGGCTATTAGCAATTCTTGCCTGAAAATGCAGAATCAAAATATGAGCCAACCCAAAAACATAATGCATGTAATATTAACAAGCTTATCATTGTCAAGAAGTTCAAATTTCACATTCCAATTTTCAAATCAATGAACTGAAGAGAACAGGCACTCACTATTAGTTTTTCCTCCAAGGAGGCAGACACAAAACTTGAAGCACAATACATTCATAGCAATATAAGACCAATAAACCAGATATTACAAGCAGTTTTAGATAGCAATTGTTATGCAAAATAAACCAAATCGGCCAAATTAAAGTTGAGATTTACCAAAGCTTCTCCTTGAATATGGTCAATGACATCCTCATCATCTTATTGGACATCTCAGATAGAAACTTAAGTTTTGAATATGCATGTCATACAAATAGAGTTTGACAGTCTCTGTCCTAGGATTATTAAGGGATGTGTAAATAAACAGCCTTATAAAATTGCAGTTGCAAGATCCGTAAGTTGATAAGAACCATATAATAACAAAATCGCATTTAAGAAACTGACCCAATTACAGATTGAAGAAGTTTAATTTAATGATGAATCTAATAACAGAGCTAAAAGATGCAGCAACTGGCAGTTTTTAAGCCATTATACCAATCAATTGCAAATCTGATTGCTAGAATAGAGATTAAGACAAATATGAAAGCATGAATGGTCAAATATAAGTCCAATCAATAAAGCTACATTCAAGAAAACTAGGATACCAGCTACTTTCAATTTCAATACAGCATAAATGATGTAGTGTGAATTAAAACGTACCGGCGCTGTTCTTCATCATTGAATACAGTTCGTTCTGTATCAAGAACCTTTTTAACACCCTTTTTCATATCCTTCTCCATTTTACGCTTATAATAAGCATCAAGGTTATAATATCTGTAACCACCAATAATCAAGCTATTATTATGTCAGTAGTAACACAGCATATATATATATATATATATATATATATATATCAATTCATGATTCTTTTAATCTGGGACTGCAATAAATCTCCTATAAAGAAAAGATGAAGCACACTCAAAGTTTGGAAGGGGAAAAGGTCTATCGGCATCATTGACAGGAATACAACCAAAAGACATTAGATCAGCAAGCACAAATTCCTTAAATAATGAAATGGCTTACTTTAAAATTGTTGTACTGGGCATAAGAATTTATTAACACATATTCTTGTTAAACAAGACTCCATATTGTTAACAATAGACAGTCTTACTTTTTGGAAGGAAAGGTGGCCGTGTTGTGATCTTCCATAAATCTGCAAAAGGAATACAAATTTTAGATTTGCAAATTTCATTTAAACACGACACAGTTATGTTTGCCTACATAATTCTTAGAAAACCATGAGAAGAGAACGATACAACAATTCACATACTCTTTAAACAACTGCTTCTCTTCCCAGTTGGGCAAACTTTCCAAGTTTATCTGTGAAGAGAGATCAGAAATATAGTTATAAACAAACTGCAAACCATTGATGCAAGGAGAACTGATAGATAAAGAACAAACATATTTCACCCACTACCATTTGAACGAATACATTCACTGTTAATAAACAATGCGAAACTAGTTCAGTAAATGGAAAACCCATTTTAGCATCGTGGTTAAAAAAAAAAAAAGAAACCCAATTATCATAAAATAAAATAAAAATAAAAATATTCACCAAATTCAAAAAATGAATGAATCTTTAAAATTCTAGGGATTAATAACAAAAATGATGTAACTAAAATACCTGTTTCACTTCTGCTAACCACGCTGTGAACTCAGGTCGCTTATTCCTACATAATACAGGAACAGTAATTACTACAAGAAATAGCAATAAAGGTTCCAAATTCCACATTAATGAAACAATTTTCAATCTCAACCATAATAGAACCTTGGAATCAGCATTTTTTTTAACATAAAGAAACAACCTTGGCAACTGAAATATGACATTCTACGAGGAACATGTCAAGCATTGCAATAAAACAATTTCATAATCAAAAATAATCTACAATTTTCTTCCCATTTTCACATATGTAAATTTGTCTCATTTTCAACAATTAATACAACAATAGAATCAGCAGTTTTTAACATAAAAAAAAATCATTGGCAACTGAAACATGACATTGTACAAGGAACAAATCCAGGATTGCAATAAAAGGCATTTCCTACTCAAGAATTAAGCAAAAATTTCCCCTCCCACTTTCTCATTTGTTTCATTTCCAACAATTTTCCAAAAATTAAAAAGTAAAACAGAGTTTGAAATAAAAGAAATTTACCACATATCAGTTTCTCTGATAACTCCATATTTACCCCAAGAATTAGTAACAGCACCTTTCTTTCCTCTTTCCAATTTCTCCTTCTTTTTCTTTTCTTTCCTTTCTTTCTCTTTTCTCTTCTTTCTTTTCCTCTCTTCGTCTCTCTCCTTTTCCTTCCTTCTCCTCTTCTTTTCCTTCTCTTTCCTCCTCCTTTTCCTCTCCCTTTCCTCCCTCTCTCTCCTCTTCCTCTTCCTCCTCCTCCTCTCCTCCTCCGAACTCGAATACTCCGATTCCGAATCCGAATAGTCAGACTCGGACTCAGATTCAGAATCCGAATGCGAATCATCTTCTTCACTGCTATGTCGTTTTCTTGATTTGCTTGGTCTTTTCCCTTTGTCGCTTTTGCCGTGGCTTTTATGCTTTGAATCTTCGGGTTCGGATTCAGAATTGGATTTCGATTTCGATTTCGGGTTAGATGGGGTTTCCATTTCTTCGTCGGAGTTTTCTAGGGGAGAATCGTTTCGATCTTTGCCCATGTTTTCGGGTTTTTGGAGGTTTTGAGGTTGAGAGGATGAAAAAGCCAGGGCTTTAGTAGTTTTGAGGTCGAAGCGGTGGGAAAGGTAAATGGGGTGTGTTTGGTTGCAGGGAAAAGAAAATGATTTCGAGGCCTAGAAAATGGGAATGAGTTTGGGTTGGGCTGTAACTAATGGAACCCACTTTTCAATAAGGCAAGGTTTTTCATATATATTTTTTTTAAAGACATGTTTCAATTGTGGATTATTATTTGAGTAAATTTTACAATTAATCACTGAATTTTAATTTGTTTTAATAAAGTCATTAAAATTTGTTAAATATATTTAATTTGATTATTTTAACAAATTTCATTCATATTATTGATAAAAATTATTACCGTCTATGTAAACTGTCACATTATTGTAATTCATGAAACCTAAATTTTTTTTGTCTCTCCTTCTTCGTATAACTTCCCTCTCTAATTCTGCAGCCTTCAACGTCAGCTTTCACCTAAAGTTCACATAATTTAAAAGCATGTTCCCATGGAAATAAAGAAACGAACATTGACGACTTTGAAGAAGACATGTGGATGTGAATTCTAAACCGTTACTCTTTTTTTTTTTTTATGAAAAAAATAAAAAAAAATCCAAATATATTAACAATGACGAAGTATGAAATGATCGTTCTAAAACTTTCAACATAGCAAGTTCAAGTTACAGATCATTATTTGGTCAGATTGGCAGCTAAATAATTCTGTACCGTCCACCATCGATACTTCAAGTAGTTATAATTAAATCTCTATCAGTGACTAAGTGTGGCTTGATGTGCCAGTATTATGTGTCCTGACATTGAAAACCGTTTAGGAGTTTTGCCCTCGAAGGCTAAAGTTCTTCATGGTTCCCTCATCTTCATCTATTTTATCGTCCTTCATGCTCTCCAAGAGCCCCTCCAGTTCTTTGCCGTTTCTGATATACGCCTTCAAGAGAGCATGATACATATCTCTATTTGCTGGAACCTTAGATCTCAATAATTTCCCAAAAACTTCTGCTCTTCAACTTCTCCATTCTCACCTAGCCAACTCAATGTGCTAGATATATTAAAATTGCTTTTGGCCTCCAATCTTTTTTTTTTTTTTTTGGCCTGTAGAGCAAGAGCTTCCTTAAAGCACTTAAAAGCCTTCTCCATAATATTGTTATCCGCGTATCGAGCTGCAACAATAGGCCAACTGATTGGACATGCATTCTTCCTTCTCTTCATTATATCCTGTAGCTTTGCTTCGGCCTTTTTAATTAAACCTTTCAGACAATATCCAATAAGGATATTTTTGTTAGGAAAATGGGTCCAAGCTCATTTAAGTGGTTTTGGATCAAGTAAAGGCCATAAGCCTTGATCTTTCATTTTACACAGAGCCCTAACTACTTAATAAAAAAGAAGTGGGATTGTTTTAAGGGTGTGTCAAAAATCAAGTAGAGAAAAGAAAAAAAGCCAAAAAAAGCAGAGAGAAAAAGGAGAAGGGAGAGTTGGTTGAACGGAAGTCGATCCATGGTTCGATTGAGTTGGAACCTTGTCAGGAGGTTTATGATTTAGAGTTCTACATTCTGAACTATGAAGATCAGGTTTGAAGCTCTCTAGGAATAAATTCAGGGTGTATTTGTTGAGTTACTTATTTGGTGAGATTTCTCCAATTGTTTCTCTAATTGTTGATTAGCTCTAGTTTTAGCTAGAGAAGAACTTTGTATATCTATTATTTGATAGTGAAGATTTTTCTGGTGGTCTATGATTTTTTTTCCCTCTACACTGGAGGATTTTTCACGTAAATCTTGGTGTGCTTTATTTTTCTTACGTTTTTTATTATTGATAGTTGTCTATTGCTTCTGTATTGTTGTGATTATTGCTTCAGGCTCAACAAGTGGTATCAGAGCGAGGGTTATTTTAAGACATCAATACAGAAGCAACCCAGGATAGAAGTAAATTCTATTTGAGATCATGGAGGGTGATACAAGTTCCATGATAAAATTGACAGTATCGAATTATTCAATTTGGAAGCCTATGATGGAGGATCATCTATACTGCAAAGATTTGTATGAGCCAGTATTGAGTGATTCGGCTAAACTAGCAGATATGAAAGGTAAAAGCTGAAAAAAACTAGGTAGAAAAACGCTGGCTACAATTAAAAAATAGGTTGATATCAGCGTGTTCCATTATGTAACACAGGAGTCAGATACTCACATTGTTTGAAAAAAATTGATAGCATTGTATGAGAGAAAAACATGTATGAATAAAGTTATGCTTGTTAAAAAGCTTGTAACTTTATAGTACAAGGATGGACGATCTGTTACAGAGCACTTAAGTGATTTTCAAGATATATTTAATCGGATGACTACTATGGAGCTTAAGATAGATGATGAAATGAAGGCGTTATTTTTTTTGGGTTCATTGCCAGACAGTTGGAATACTCTAGTTATGACTATTCTTAATTCAGCTTTTGATTATAAGATGACATTGGAGATGGTAAAGAACAATATGTTTAATGAAAAAGCAAGGTGAAAAGATGTAGACCTTGGGAATCAAGTTCTAGTCACAGAGAACATGGGTAAAAACATCGACAGAGGTCAGGACTCAAAAAATCGTGGTAAGTCTAAACATAGATCCAAGTCTAGAGATAAAGTGAAGTGTTTCTATTGTGGTAAGGCATGTCATATAAAATGAAACTATAAAATCTTGAAGCAAGAGCGAAAAGATGAGAAAGGTAAGAGTTCAGATAATGGTAATGTTACAACAGTGAATTCAAATAGTGATTCAGTTACTTTGATTTGTATACATGGTGATTATAATCATGTTAGTGATTTCGGCATTGAGTGGATAGTTGACACAGGAGCGACATATCATTGTGTTTCTAAGAGAGAGTTGTTTATAACTTACAAAGCAAGAGACTTTGGTTATACCAGATGGAAAATAAGAGTGTGTCACAGATTATTGGGATTGGTGATATTGTTGTAAAAACTAGTACAGGCTGCATGTTGACTTTAAGGGATGTTAGACACATTCTAGATATGAGAATGAACTTACTTGCTATTAATGTCCTTGATAAGGAAGGATATGAAAGTCGACAAAAGAATGGACAGTAGAAACTTCTCAAAGGATCTATGATAGTTGCAAAAGAAAACTATGCTGCACAATGTATAAAACATGGATGCAATTGAATGGTAACCAGGTAAATGCCGTTGAAAATGATGCTTCAGCAAACTTGTGGCACAGGAAGCTGGCACACATGAGTGAAAAAGAGTTACAGGTTTTGACAAGACAGTCTCTTATTCCATTGACCAAAGGTATGTCTCTCGATTCATGTGATTATTGTTTGTTTGGTAAGCATCATAGAGTTTCTTTTCGTAAAAATTTTCAGAGAAAAGAAAATAGATTGAAATTAATTTATTCTAACGTATGTGATCCCATTGAGGTTGAGTCATTAGGTGGTAGCAGATATTTTATTACTTTTATTGATGATGTTTCACGTAAGACTTGAGTGTATATGTTGAAATACAAAAGTTAGGTACTGTAGTATTTTTAAAAATTTCATGCCATGGTAGAAAGGATGACAGGGTTATCCTTGAAGTGTATTCAACTGATAATGGTGGGAAATACACATCTAAAGGCTTTGAAGAGTATTGTTTAAAGCATGGGATCATGCATAAAATGACAGAACTTGGAATACCACAGCATAATGGTATAACTAAAAGAATGAATCGTACCATTGTAAAAAAAGTCAGATGTATGTTGAGGATGATAAAATTACCAAAGTCATTCTGGGGTGAAGCAGTCAACACGATTTGTTATTTACTTAACAATCACCATTAGTTTTTTTGAGCTTTGACATTCCAGAAAGAGTGTGGACAGAAAAAGATACTTCATACTCTCACTTAAAAATTTTTGGGTGTAAAGCATTCATGTATGTGTCGAAAGAGTAGAGATTAAAGTTTGATAGTAAAACCACATAGTGTGTGTTTGTATGATATGGTGATGAGAATTTTGGTTACAGGGATATGGAATCTAGTAAAGAAAAAGACAGTCAGAAGTAAAGATGTGGTCTTTCATGAAAAAGAGACTATAGTAGACCTTGAGAAAAATGAGAAGACTACACGGGTTACTGTTGAGTGTGATGTTTTAACACCGACAGAGATTTCACAAGAAAGAGCCACAAATGGTGAAAATAAGTAAGAAACAGAACTTGGGAATATAAATGAGCCAGTCACAGTTGGTGATGAGCCAAATACAATTAGTTTTGAGCAAGGGGAGCAATCCTATCTACCTGAGAGTGTTAAGCAGGAGGAGTTACCTTTGGTATCAAATGATGTAGAGTCTCAGCCCAGGAGATCTACTAGAGAGCGTAAGTCATCTACCAGGTATCCAAGTTCATATTTTATTTTAGTTACCAGTGAAGGGAAGCCAAAAAGCTTTCAAGATGTGCAGGTTACTTCAGATAGAGAGCACTGGTTAAAAGCAATGAAAGAAAAGATGGAGTCATTGCGAAAAAATAGTACTTATGATCTTGTTAAACTTCCAACAGAGAAGAGGCCATTAAAGAATAAATGGGTATTCAAGTTAAAAAAAGATGGTGACAAACTAGTGAGGTACAAAGCTCGATTGGTAGTAAAAGGTTTTTCTCAAAAACCAGGCATCGATTTTGATAAGATTTTTGCTTCAGTTGTAAAGATGAGTTCTATTCGAGTGGTACTGGAATTAGCAGCTAGTTTGAATCTTTAGCTTGAGCAACTTGATGTTAAAACTATATTTTTGCATGGTGATTTATAGGAGGACATTTATATGAATTAGTCTAAGAGTTTTAAAGTGAAAGGGAAAGAGCACTTAGTTTGTAAATTGAAGAAAAGCTTGTATGGCTTGAAACAAGCTTCGTAACAGTGGCACAAGAAGTTTGATTCTTTTATGGTGAGTTATAGCTATAAAAGAACAGCAACGGATTCTTGTGTGTATGTTAAATAATTTCCTAATGGTAACTTCATTATCCTATTATTATATGTTGATGATATGTTGATTGTAAGACAATATGCTAGTAAGGTTTGTAGGTTGAAAGAACAATTATCTAAGTCCTTTGATATGAAAGATTTAGGCCAGTAAAGTAGATTCTTGGTATGGACATTATCCGAGATAGAAGAGTTGAAAAGCTGTGGTTGTCACAAGAAAAATATGTTGAACGAGTGCTT